TCATATGCCAAAAAAAATATTGTTATATTTTCAAAGCAATTACTAACCATAACTTTCTGTGTCCAGCGTGCAGTGTTAATTAAAATAATTTTTGTTTAGTAATTAATTTGAATTTACTGTTTGCATGAGACAGAATATGAAAGTTTATAACATTGAGGCAAATTCATTCATTTATTTGTATTTTCCTGTCCCCAAAAAAAAAAGCGAGAGAATATATACTGTACTGTATATACGAACTTCACATACAGAGTAAACACGTTAAATATGTATCAAATACCAGGAAAATCGTATTATGTATTTTTTCCTACAAGCTGAAACAGAATAACACACGTCATTCGATATTACTTGAAAAAAAACCACATTAAATAACACAGAGGAGTTATGAGCTAAGGGAAAACTACGTGTATAAAATGTATAGTTCTTTATCATATTTAAACTCGAGTTAAATATTCCAGGTATTACTAACGTGGCTTTGAAAAATGTGCTTATACCTAGATAACCGAAATTGCATAAATATACCAGCATATCTAAACGTGACTTTTTATAGATATACCAACAATACTAAACAAAACTGCCATAAATATACTTGCTATCTAAACGAGAGTGCGGAGGTGAGACCTAAACGAGGACTTGTCTACCTACACCGCCATATCTGAACTTGAATTTGCTTGAATATTTTGTACTGCATGATCATATCTAAAACATGTGGCTTTGTTCACTTATACCAACTGTGTCTAGCAAGGCTTGGCAGAAATATTATACCAGCATATTTAAACATTATCTTTATGGTCTAACTACAGAACTACTTGTGTTTATTTACGTATTCCAATATATCTATTGAGTCGAAATACATCTAATTGATATTTTTTTAAAATATTTTGTAGATAGTTTAAGTAATTCTGTTTTTCCTTTCATTTCATAAGAGTTGAAGTTAGAGAAAAGTGACCACTGGCTAAATAATGTCTTTCTTTTAATATAATTTTTCAGTATTTGTAGATTCTCCTAACCTTAAAGGTCTAAAATGCACAACCCAAGCACGAAATTATCCCTCCCCCACCAAAAAAAAAAAAAAAAAATATATATATATATATATATATATATATATATATATATATATATATATATATATATATATATATATATATATATATATATATATATATATATATATAAATCTTGTTCTGTCTCATCTGTTCGGTACAATAAGTTATCTTCCTTAATAGAAGAGGATCAAACACCATTATACAGTATACTGTATATGATAATTAATCCCATGATCAGTAGTTACTAAGTGGTTTCTTTTTACATTATACGACTTTTGTATGAGGAAATAAGGGAACAATTGCCGAATACTTCAACCTAAACAAACGTGGACTTTTGAGTCCAGAAAAACAAGATTTAATTGAATGTGGAATTTTGTATACATTATTTTTCGCCAAGGTTTAATCAGAGCAAATACTGTCCAAATGTGCCTGGTTGCATGATCGTGTGAAGTGAGATTTGTAAATACAGGTTGAAACAGCTGATTAAACTCATCTAACCTTTAAGTCCCGACTTTGAAGTTTAAAAGTATTGTTGATATCTTATCGGAACACATTCAGTGGCAATAAATTCTTGAGTCTGGCGGAATGTTATGACAATAAGCGATCTAATACAGAGGGCGCTGGGTACCGGAAGAGAATTTAATCCTTCATCATATGGGACAAATTATGGATATCATTATATAATACTTATTTTAGATAATGATATGAACCATGAGTCAATGGAGAGGTTAGGTTAGGTCAGGTCAGGATAGGTTAGGTTAGGTTAGAGTAATGTTCGCGTGGGGGTGTTTAATTACCAGGTGAAATAAACTGGATTGTCTAATATTCAGGTGATTCTAAATTCCTTTACTTCTATTTACCTCACCCAGTATTTATCCCTCCTCCTGTGTAAGAATCAGCCGGGGTAAATCAGGCGACCATGTTTAATTTTGGTAGAAGGCGAGAGACTATTAATTAAGTCTGGCAGTGAGCATTACCAGAGCCAGTTCACTAGAATTAAGGTAAAAAAAAGAGAGAGATGTCGGTACTTTCTCCTCTTAAATATTTCCCATGATATATTAAAGAACCTCCTCAAGATTAAAGAAGGAATGGAGCGAGAGAGAGGGAGAGGTGGGGGGGACGTGCGGTGTGATGGACAGGTGAGTGTGTAGTGATACGCGCTGATAAGACTACGACTGTACCTTGATGAGACTTATTGAGTGTAATGCAAGAGAGTGACAATGAGTTTAACGGTTTAGTTATATTATCAGCATCCAATATTATGTCATGGACGTACAGTACCCAAAATAACACCCAAATGTAAATTAATTTTACTCGAATGTGTTTTATACGCTGACCAATTATAAATAAATTTCTCCCTTCCTACCTCTCTCCTCTCCCTTCCTACCTCTCCCCATCTTCCCAACAAATAACTACCACTGATTACCATAAAAGCTTTTAACCAACAAAATATATAAAAACAACTGTTGTTTACACTTGAGGCGATAATCGTTTAATGAGCCTATGGCATGTAATTGAATGTTATGACCAGCTTTCCCAGTATTAAAAACAAACAAACATTTGAACTAGATCGTAACCTTTCCCGATTTATTCTACATCATCATACTATTTTTTTCCAAATTTCAAGAATTCTATTTAGAAAGTCAATTTAGAATCACCAAGAGAGGTTTAGTGTATACCGTAGTGCTGTTCATGTAGTGGCAGTATCATGCATAAGTATAGAGCTTTTTATGTAGTGATAGGCTAATGTAAGAGTTAATGATTTTTATGTCCGGGTGATCTCAAGAATATTTTGTTCAATAATTTCCATGATAATATTAAGATGGTGGTCGGAAAGGCTGAAGGGAACACTTGGGGAGAGAGTATAAATAGTGAGCACCTTGACTTACCCCACCTTGAGGCGAGGTTTCGTTCCCCAGCAGGCAGGACCCATTATGTCGCTTTGACTATAAAGTATTATCCTCTTAAGGTTAAGGTCATGATGAAAGTAATCGCAAGTATTTCATATTTTTCATTTCCTGATTAAATAGGCACTGATGAGTCGACGGATTTTTCATTATAAATTCATAATTAAATTGACAGGCTACAGAATCATTGTACCAATAGTTTCTACACGTGTGACAGTTCAAGGCTGACCCTTACAGGTGTGAAATTATCAAAGAATCAGTCAATCTACTATAATTTTTTGCCATATCACTGAAATAATTATCATGCCGGTATCATTATGCTCTCAAAGGATCAGTCCCCGAATTGCGGTGGCGATAAGGATACAGCACTCGACTCTTTCTAAAAGGTCGCTGGTTCCTCCCAGGGCACCGGGAATCGACCCAACACCGGTTGGGTACTGAACATTGCAGTTGGGGAAGTAAAGGCTGAATTTCCTCATAGTGTACCGAGTAGTAAGAATACAGTGTGCTGTATCCACTGCTCATAACGGTGGTCATCAGATCAATGGAATCCATCTTTACTTAAAGGATCGGGTATTTAACCATCGATTTATACCAAGGGACAAGGCCATGTTTTTACAGTCATTTCGTTATCCTGTAAATGGTATTATATATTTGCTAAATAATCTCACCTAATAGTTCAGGTATCATGTACATGAGACGCGATCACCATTGTTATATACAAAGAGACAAACTTTATATGAACGTTTTATCTTTTGTTGTGGAAATAAAACAATTCAAACAATAGGCTCGAATATGAACCACAGGACACATAGAACTACCTCTACTACTGCTACTACTACTACTACTACTACTCTACACAGGTGAAGGTAGAACACACAGGCGTGGAGGAGGACACAGGCGTGGAGGAGGACACACAGGCGTGGGGGGAGGACACACAGGCGTGGAGGAGGACACAGGCGTGGGGAGAGGGAACACACAGGCGTGGAGGGAGGACACACAGGGCGTGGAGGAGGACACACAGGCGTGGGGGAGGACACACAGGGCGTGGAGGAGGACAGGGCGTGGAGGAGGATACAGACGTGGAGGGAGAACACACAGGCGTGGAGGACACAGGCGTGGAGGGACACAGGCGCGGAGGGAGGATACAGACGTGGGAGGAGAACACAGGCGTGGAGGAGGAACCAGGCGTGGAGGAGGACACAGGCGTGGAGGGAGGACAGAGGGCGTGGAGGGAGGACACAGGCGTGGGAGGAGGACACACGGGCGTGGAGGAGGACACAGGCGTGGAGGGAGGACACACAGGCGTGGGGAGGGACACAGGCGTGGAGGAGGACACAGGCGTGGAGGAGGATACAGACGTGGGAGGAGGACACACAGGCGTGGAGGGAGAACACACAGGCGTGGAGGAGAACACAGGCGTGGAGGGAGAACACACAGGCGTGGAGGAAGATACAGACGTGGAGGAGGACACACAGGTATGGAGGAGGATACAGACGTGGAGGGAGGACACACAGGGCGTGGAGGGAGGATACAGACGTGGAGGAACACACAGGCGTGGGAGGAGGACACACAGGCGTGGAGGGAGGATACAGACGTGGGGGAGAACACACAGGCGTGGAGGAGGACACAGGCGTGGAGGAGGGACACAGGCGTGGAGGAGGACACAGGCGTGGAGGGAGGACACAGGCGTGGAGGAGGATACAGACGTGGGAGGGAGAACACACAGGCGTGGAGGGACACAGGCGTGGAGGGAGGACACAGGCGTGGAGAGGAGGACACAGGCGTGGAGGAGGATACAGGCGTGGAGGACACTAGTGTGGAGGGAGACCCACATGCATGGGAGGACAGCACAGGCGTGGAGGAGAACACACAGGCGTGGGGAGGACACACAGGCGTGGAGGGAGGACACACAGGCGTGGAGGAGGACACAGGCGTGGAGGAGGGACACAGGCGTGGAGGAGGACACAGGCGTGGAGGAGGGACACACAGGCGTGGGAGGAGGACACAGGAATGGAGGACGACACAGGAGGTGGAGGACGACACAGGAATGGAGAACGACACAGGAATGGAGGACGACACAGGGATGGAGGGACGACACAGGAATGGAGACGACACAGGAGTGGAGGACGACACAGGGAGTGGAGGGACGACACAGGAGTGGAGGAGGACACAGGAGTGGAGGACGACACAGGAATGGAGGAACGACACAGGAGGTGGAGGACGACACAGGGTGAGAGGGCGACACAGGGTGGAGGAGGACACACAGGAGTGGAGGACGACACAGGAATGGAGGAACGACACAGGGTGGAGGGACGACCAGGAGTGGAGGACGACACAAGAGTGGAGGGAGGACACAGGAGTGGAGGACGACATGGGAATGGAGAACGACACAGGGTGGAGGACGACACAGGGTGGAGGACGACACAGGGTGGAGGACGACACAGGAATGGAGAACGACACAGGGAGTGGAGGGACGACACAGGAGTGGAGGACGACACAGGGAGTGGAGGACGACACAGGAATGGAGAACGACACAGAGGTGGAGGAGGACACAGGGGTGGAGGAGGACACAGGGTGGAGACGACAGAGATGGAGAACGACACAGGAATGGAGAACGGACACAGGATGGAGGGACACAGGAATGGAGGACGACACAGGAATGGAGAACGACACAGGCGTGGAGGGACGCCATGGAATGGAGGGGACGACAGAGATGGAGGACGACACAGGATGGAGGACGACACAGGGTGGAGGACGACACAGGGATGGAGAACAGGCACAGGGAGTGGAGGACGACACAGGGATGGAGGACGACACAGGCGTGGAAGGGGACACAGGAATGGAGGACGACCTGGGGATGGAGGAACGACACAGGGTGGAGGACGACCAGGGGTGGAGGGACAGGCACAGGATGGAGGACGACACAGGGAGTGGAGGACGGCTGAGAATGGAGGATGACACAGGGTGGAGGGGACGACACAGGAATGGGAGCGACACAGGAGTGGAGGACGACAGGGAATGGAGGACGACACAGGGGTGGAGGACGACATGGGAGGGGAGGAGGACAGGAGGGACGACCGGGGAATGGAGAACAGCGGGTGGAGGGACGACCGGGGATGGAGGACGACACAGGATGGAGGGTGAACAGGCGTCGAAGGGGACGGGAATGGAGGGGACGACACAGGATGGAGGACGACACAGGATGAGGACGACACAGGGGTGGAGGACGGCCGGGGGTGGAGGACACAGGGTGGAGGACGACTGGGGAATGGAGGACGACAGGGCGTGGGAGGGGACAAGGGAATGAGAGGGACTGGCACAGGAATGGAGGAGACGACCAGGGGGTGGAGGACGACACAGGGGAGTGGAGGACGACACAGAATGGAGAACGACAGGGTGGAGGACGACACAGGAATGGAGGACGACACAGGGTGGAGGGACGACACAGGAATGGAGGGGAGCGACACAGGGTGGAGGACTGACACAGGGGATGGAGGACGACACAGGGTGGAGGGACTGACACAGGAATGGAGAACTGACACAGGGTGGGACAGAGCTGGGGAATGGAGGATGACACAGGGGGTGGAGGACGACACAGGGAATGGAGAACGACACAGGGTGGAGGACGACATGGGAATGGAGGAGCAGGAGTGGAGGGGACGACCTGGGAGTGGGGGACGACACAGGATGGAGGACGACCTGGGGACAGGAGGACGACACAGGAATGGAGGACGACACAGGGGAGGACGGCCTGGGAATGGAGGACGACAGGGGATGGAGGGACGACACACAGGAATGGAAAAGCACACAGGAGTGGAGGGACGACACAGGAGTGGAGGAGGACACAGGAATGGAGGACGACACAGGAATGGAGGACGACACAGGAATGGAGGACGGCACAGAATGGAGGGGACGACACAGGAATGGGGAGAACGACACAGGAGTGGAGGACGACACAAGTGGAGGAGGACACAGGGATGGAGGGACGGACAGGGGAGTGGAGGACGACACAGGAATGGAGGACGACACAGGAATGGAGGACGACACAGGAATGGAGGACGACACAGAATGGGAGGGACGACACAGGAATGGAGGACTGACACAGGAATGGAGGACGACACAGGGAAGGGACTGACACAGGGATGGAGGACGAAGCCTGAGATGGGGACGGCACAGGAATGGAGGACGACCTGGGGATGGAGGCGGTGGGAGAGGAGGAGGACGACACAGGGTGGAGGACACAGGAAGAGGGAACGACACAGGAGTGGGAGGACGACAGGAATGGAGGACGACACAGGGGTGGAGGACAGGCAGGGATGGAGGGAGACGACACAGGTGGAGGACGACATGGGAGTGGAGGACGACACAGGGGATGGAGGACGAGCGAGAGATGGAGGACGACCTGGGATGGAACGACCAGGAGTGGAGGACGACACAGGGGTGGAGGGACGACACAGGAATGGAGGGAGCACACAGGAATGGGGGAACGACACAGGGGTGGAGGACAACAGGGGAATGGAGGACGACACAGGAGTGGAGGACGACATGGGAATGGAGGAGACGACACAGGGTGGAGGACGACACAGGAATGGAGGACGTGACACAGGAGTGGAGGACGACACAGGGATGGAGGAGGACACAGAGATGGAGGACGACACAGGAATGGGAGGACGACACAGGAATGGAGAACTGACACAGGGTGGAGGGACGACACAGAGATGGAGGGACGACACAGGAATGGAGGACGACACAGGATTGGAGGGACAGCACAGGGGTGGAGGACGACACAGGAATGGAGGGACGACCAGGGGTGGAGGACGGCCTGCAGAAGGATGGGGACGACAGAATGGAGGACGACACAGGGGAGGGAGGAGACACAGAAGTGGAGGACGATACAGTAATGGAGGACGACACAGGAGTGGGAGGACAACACAGGAATGTGGGAGGACGACACAGGAGGGAGGATGACACAGGAGGAGGATGACAGAATGGGAGGACGACACAGAGTGGGGAGGGAGGACACTGGAAGTGGGAGGATGACATAGTGGGAGGACGACATGAGGAGGAGGATGAGAGAATGGAGGACGACACAGGAGTGGAGGACGACACAGGAGTGGAGGACGACACAGGAATGGAGGACGACACAGGAATGGAGGACGACACAGGAGTGGATGACGACACAGGAGTGGAGGACGACACAGGAGTGGAGGACGACGCAGGAGTAGAGGACGACACTGTAATGGAGGACGACACAGGAGTGGAGGAGGACACAGAAGTGGAGGACGATACAGTAATGGAGGACGACACAGGAGTGGAGGACGACACAGGAGTGGAGGAGGACACAGAAGTGGAGGACGACACAGAAGTGGAGGACGACACAGGAGTGGAGGACGACATAGAAGTGGAGGACGACACAGGAGTGGAGGACGACACAGGAGTGGAGGACAACACAGGAGTGGAGGACGACACAGGAGTGGAGGACGACATAGAAGTGGAGGACGACACAGGAGTGGAGGACGACACAGGAATGGAGGACGACACAGGAGTGGAGGAGAGCACAGGAGTGGAGGACGACACAGAAGTGGAGGACGACAAAGGAGTGGAGGACGACACAGGGGTGGAGGACGACACAGAAGTGGTGGACGACACAGGAGTGGAGGATGACACAGGGGTGGAGGATGACACAGGGTGGAGGGGGACACAGAAGTGGAGGACAACACAGGAGTGGAGGACGACACAGGAGTGGAGGACGACACAGAAGTGGAGGACGACGCAGGAGTGGAGGACGACACAGGGTGGAGGGGGACACTGGAGTGGAGGACAACACAGGAGTGGAGGACAACACAGGAGTGGAGGACGACACAGGAGTGGAGGACGACACAGGAGAGTGGGAGGACGACACAGAAGTGGAGGACGACGTGCAGGAGGGAGACACATAGGGTGGAGGGGACACTGGAGGGAGGAGGACAGAAGTGGAGGAGACGACACAGGAGTGGGAGGACGATTACAGGAGGGGAGGACGACACAGGAGGGAGGACACAGGGAGGGAGGACGATGCAGGAGGGAAAAAGGACACAGGAGTGGGAGGAGGACAGAAGTGGGAGAATGAAGCAGGAGGGGAGGATGATACAGGAGGGAGGACATACAGGAGGGAGGACGACACAGGAGGGATGAGGAAACAGGAGGGAGGACGACAGAGGAGTGGGAGGACAACACTGGAGGGAGGACCACACGAGTGGAGGACGACAGGAGGGAGGAGGACACAGAAGGAGGAGGACACAGAAGTGGGAGGACGACACAGGAGTGGAGGACGACACAGGAGTGCAGGACCACGGGAGTGGAGGACGACACAGGAGTGGAGGACAACACTGAAGTGGAGGACCACACGGGAGTGGAGGACAACACTGGAGTGGAGGACAACACTGGAGTGGAGAACGAAGCAGGAGTGGAAAAGGACACAGGAGTGGAGGAGGACACAGAAGTGGAGGACGACGCAGGAGTGGAGGACGACACAGGGTGGAGGGGGACACTGGAGTGGAGGAGCACACGGGAGTGGAGGACGACACAGGAGTGGAGGACGACACAGGAGTGGAGGACCACACGGGAGTGGAGAACGAAGCAGGAGTGGAAAAGGACACAGGAGTGGAGGAGGACACAGACGTGGAGGACGACACAGGAATGGAGGACGACACAGGAGTGGAGGACCACACGGGAGTGGAGAACGACGCAGGAATGGAGGACAATACTGGAGTGGAGGACGACACAGGAGTGGAGGACGACACAGGAGTGGAGGAGGACACAGAAGTGGAGGACGACACAGGAGTGGAGGACGACACAGGAGTGGAGGACCACACGGGAGTGGAGAACGACGCAGGAGTGGAGGACGACACAGGAGTGGAGCACGACACAGGAGTGGAGGACGACACAGGAGTGGAGGACGACACAGGAGTGGAGGACGACACAGGAGTGGAGGACGACACAGGAGTGGAGGAGGACACAGGAGTGGAGGACGACACAGGAATGGAGGACGACACAGGAGTGGAGGACGACACAGGAGTGGAGGACGACACTGGAGTGGAGGACGACACAGGAGTGGAGGAGGACACAGGAGTGGAGGACCACACGGGAGTGGAGAACGACGCAGGAGTCGAGGACGACACTGGAGTGGAGGACGACACAGGAGTGGAGGACGACACAGGAATGGAGGGACGACACAGGAGTGGAGGGACAACACAGGAATGGAGGACGACACAGGATGGTGAACAGAGTGGAGGGACGACACAGGAGTGGAGGACGACACACAGGAATGGAGGACGACACAGGATTGGAGGACGACACAGGAATGGAGGACGACAGGAATGGAGGACGACACAAGTGGAGGGACGACACAGAGTGAGGAGGACACAGGAATGGAGGGACAGTACAGGGAATGGAGGAACGACAGAGATGGAGAGACGACACAGGAGTGGAGGACGACACAGGATGGAGGACGACACAGGAATGGAGGGACGACACAGGAGTGGAGGACGACACAGAGTGGAGGACAGACAGGAATGGAGGACGACACAGGAGTGGAGGACGACACAGGAATGGAGGACGACAGGAGTGGAGGGGGACACAGGAATGGGAGGACGACACAGGATGGAGGAGGGGACGACACAGGAGTGGAGGACGACACAGAGATGGAGGACGACACAGGAGTGGAGGGACACAGGAGTGGAGGACAACACAGGGGTGGAGGACAACAGGAATGGAGGAGGGGAGGAGGGGACACAGGAGTGGAGGACGCACAGGAATGGAGAACGACACAGGAGTGGAGGGACGACACAGGAATGGAGGACGACACAGGGTGGGACGACACAAATGGAGAACGACACAGGAGTGGAGGACGACAGGATGGAGGACGACATGGGGTGGGAGGGACCTGGGAATGGAGGACGACACAGGATGGAGAGACACAGGAGTGGAGGACGACACAGGAGTGGAGGACGACACAGGAGGGAGGATGACACAGGAATGGGAGGACATACAGGAGGGAGGAGAGGCAGGAGGGAGGAGACACAGAGGGAGGATGAAAAGGGAGGGAGACAGGAGGGGAGGATGACACAGAAGTGGTGGGATGACACAGGAGGGAGGATGGGGTGGAGGACAGACAGGGTGGGAGGAGGACACAGTGGGAGGACAACACAGAGGGAGGACGACAGGAGGGAGGATGACAGAAGTGGGAGGACGATGCAGGAGGGAGGATGAACAGGTGGAGGGGACACTGGAGGGAGGACAAACAGGGAGGGAGGACAACAGGAGGGAGACAGGAGGGAGGACGACACAGGAGGGAGGACACACAGAAGTGAGGACGACACAGGAGGAGGACGACACAGGGTGAGGGGGACAATGGAGGAGGAGACAAGAAGTGGAGGACGACAGAGGAGACACACAGGAGTGGAGGACGAAGGACAGGAGGGAGGACGACACAGGAGTGGAGGACGACGCAGGAGTGAAAAGACAGGAGGGAGGAGGACAGAAGTGGAGAATGAAGCAGGAAGGGAGGGACACACAGGAGTGGGAGGACGACAGGAGTGGGAGGGACACAGAGGATGAGGAAACAGGAGGAGGAATAGAGGAGTGGGAGGACAACATGGAGTGGGAGGGACACACGGGAGGGGAGGACAGGAGGAGGAGACACAGAAGGGAGGAGGACACAAGTGGGAGACAGGAGGGAGGATGACACAGGAGTGCAGGACCACAGGGGGAGGGAGGATGACACAGAGGGAGGACAACACTGAAGTGGGAGGACCAAGGATGGGGAGGGAGGACAAAACTAGGTGGGAGGGACAACACGGAGTGGGAGAATGAAGCAGGAGGGAAAGGACACAGGAGTGGGAGGAGGACAGAAGTGGGAGGACGATGCAGAGTGGAGGATGACACAGGTGGGAGGGGGAAGACTGGAGGGAGGAGCACACATGGGAGTGGAGGACGACAAGGTGAGGGAGGACGACACAGAGGAGGACGACACAGGGAGTGGAGAACAAGCAGAGTGAAAAGGACACAGGAGGGAGGAGGACACAGAAGTGGAGGACGACACAGGAATGGGAGGACGACACAGGAGGGAGGACTACACGGGAGGGAGAACGACGCAGGAAATGGAGGACACATTGGAGGAGGACATACAGGAGGGAGGGACAAGGGCAGGTGGAGGAGGAGGACACAGAAGTGGGAGGACATGGGGAGGAGACGACACAGGGAGGGAGACACATGGGAGTGGGAGAATGACGGAGGGAGGATAGACAGAGGGGAGTACGACAAGGAGGGAGACGCATATGGAGGAGGGATGACACAGAGACAAGCAGAGGGAGGACATAGGAGTGAGGAGGACACAGGAGGGAGGATGACACAGGAATGGGAGGATGACAGGAGGAGGATGACAGAGGAGGACAAGCATTGGAGGGAGGACAGAGTGGGAGGAGGACACAGGAGGGGAGGGACCAGGGAGTGAGGGAATGACGTAGGAGGGACGATACTGGAGGGAGGACAGTGAGGATGACACAGGAGGGAGGAGACACAGAGGGAGGACTACACGGGAGTGGAGAATGACGCAGGTGTGGAGACGACGGGGGAGGACGACACAGGAGGGAGGACGCATACAGGAGTGGAGGAGGACAGAAGTGGAGGACTACACGGGAGTGGGAGGACGACGGGAGTGGAGGACACAGGGAGTGGGAGGACGACACAGAGGAGGACGACACACAGGAGGAGGACACAGGAGGGAGGACATGACAGGAGGGAGGACACAGAGTGGGAGGGACACACAGAGGGAGGACGACGGTGAGGGGAGGATGACACAGGAGGGAGGGACACACAGGAGGAGATGACACTGGGAGGGGAGGACACTGGGAGGGGAGAATGATGGGAATGGGAAAAGACAGGGAGTGGAGGAGGACACAGGAGGGAGGAGGACACAGGAGGGAGGATGAGAGGAGGAGGAGGCAGGAGGGAGGATGACAGAGGGAGGATGACACAGGGTGGAGGACGACACAGGAGGGAGGATGACACTGGAGGAGAATGATGCAGGAATGGAAAAAGGACACAGGAGGGAGGACACAGAGGGGAGGACACGGGAGGAGAATGACGCGAGGGAGGGAGGACACAGGAGAGGGAGGAGGACACAGGAGTGGGAGGACGACACAGGAGTGGAGGAGACACAGGGAGTGGAGGAGGACAGGAGAGGATACATGCAGGGAGGGAGGACACACTGGAGGGAGAACGCAGGAATGGAAAAGGGACAGGAGGAGGGAGACAGGAGTGAGGACGACACAGGAGTGAGGAGGACACAGGAGGGAGGATGACACAGGGAGGGGAGGACACACAGGAGGGAGGACGACACAGAGGAGGAGAGGACAGGGAGGGAGACAGAGCACAGTGGGAGGACGACACAGGAGTGGGATGACACAGGAGGGAGTGGGGACAAAAGGAGTGGGAGAACACAGGAGGGAGGGAGGGACACAGGAGGGAGGACACAGGAGGAGGAGGACACAGGGAGGGAGGATGACACAGGAGGGAGAGGACACAGGAGGGAGGAGGACACAGGAGGGAGGGAGGACACAGGGAGGGAGGACGACAGGAGGGAGGACGACAGGAGGGGAGGACGACACAGGAGGGAGGAGGACACAGGAGGGAGGATGACACAGAGTGGGAGGACGACACAGGAGGAGGGAGGGACACAGGAGTGGGAGGAGGACACAGAGGGAGGAGCAACACAGGAGGGAGGAGGACAGGAGGGGAAGAATGACACAGGAGGGAGAGGACACAGGAGTGGAGGAGGACACAGGAGGGGAGGAGGACACAGGAGGGAGGACGACACAGGAGGAGGACGACAGGAGTGGGAGGACGACACAGGTGGGGAGGAGGACACAGGAGGAGAACGACACAGGAGGGAGGGGAC